TTTTTTTTTTTTTTTTTTAAGAGACAGGGTCTCATTCTGTTGCCCTGGAGTGCAGTGGTATGATCATAGCTCACTACAGCCTCAAAATGCCGCACTCAAGCAATACTTCCACCTGAGCCTTCCAAGTAGCTGGGACTACAGGTATGTGCCATTTTTTTCATTTTTATTTTTGTAGAGACTGGGTCTCGCTATGTTGCCTAGGCTGGTCTCAAACTCCAAGCAATCCTCTCTCCTTGTCTTCCCAAAGTGCTGGGACTACAGGCATGCACCATCATGCCCAGTCTCTCGGCCTTTCTAATCCTATCAAGATCCATCAACTTACCTCTGAATATTTATCAAATCTGACTGTTCAAAGAACTGAATACCACATGTTCTCACTCTTAAGTGGGCTCTGAATATTAGTCACATTAGTACAAGGGAGGAATCAGCAGTAACTGGGCACTGCTAGGGGAGGGAGGGAACACAGTAAGAGGGCCCATGACAACACAAAGGTACCCAATCCACTACTAGGGGGAGTAAGGACCTGTTAGAAGCCCAAACTTCACCTGCATGCAGCCTATTTACATAGTTAATCCTCACTTGTACTCCACATCTCTATAATAAACTAACAATACATTAAAATTTTTTTTAAGCTGGGCTCGGTGGCTCAGCCTGTAATGCCAGCGCTTTGGGAGGCTGAGGTGAGTGGATTGCCTGAGCCTGAGGGTTCGAGACCCACTTGGGCAACTTGGCGAGACCTCCTCTCTACAATAAATCAAAAATTAGCCCTGGGCATGGTAGCGTGCTCCTGTAGTTCCAGCTACTTGGAAGGCTGAGGCGGAAGGATCGGCCGAGCTCAGCAGGTCAAGGCTGCGGTGGGTGGGAAACGGCCACTGCACTCCAGTCTGGGTGACAGAGTGAGACTCCAACTCAAAAAAAAAAAAAAAAATTTGACTGTTCAAGTCCATCAAGCCCTGATGGAGAGATGACTGATAAATAACCCTTGGACTACATAGAAAACCTAGCTTTTGTTGGGAAGAGTACTGAATGTGTGTTTTCTTTTTTCCCTCCCTCCTTCTTGCCTATTGGCTTTTCCTCCCTACTTTTTTCTTCCTCCTTGGATATAAGCCTCAGCCCAGCTGGGGTCCTCCCAGGCCCTGCTTGGTCCAGGTGACAGCCTTTCAGGGTCAAAGAGGTTACTGAACTCTATTCTCAAGTGTGTACCTCCTCCAAGCTGGCCACCTAATTGATTCTTCTCGAGGCCAGGTGCAAACATCAGCAGGCCAGGTCATGAGAAGACTAGCAGAGAAGAGGCCACCCGAGCATCTCTCTCAAAGCCTGAACCACTGCCTCATCTTCCTATGAGACCCAGGGTAAGGCTGGTCCCTTCCAGACCTTCCTGAAAGATCCACTAATAATCAGAGCAGGAGGGGACCTTATAAGTTTTTTGGTCCAGTGGTTTTCTACAATTCTTGTTTCCAATGAAATTATACAGAATGTAGCATTTTAATAAGTGTAACAATTGCCATACATCTATTTTGTAACTGTACGTACATCGGGGGTGAATTGCATGGATCAGGGAGACAGCTGCCCTAGTTCTGCGGCCCTGGGTATGATTTCGTCTCTCTGCCTTATTTGCAAAAACAGAGTTCAAAATTGCTACTTCATTGAGCCAAGACCAGAGCAAATGCTGAGCACAGAGCTTGGTACATAATGAGCGTTTAATAGATGATGGCAGTTATTTATGGTGATGGTGAATATTAAACAAGGGAGATTGTTTTGATGAATACAAAAATTTGAGATCAACAGTTGGAAATGGCAGTTGTCACTTTATACCAGCCTTAGCATTCAGCTGATTTTTGCATTTTATTTCAGTGATATAGGGCCAGGAAGATCTTTCTTCTTTCAGAAAAAGCAGTTGCCTTACAATCTTAGGATCCTCAAATAAAATATTTGCAGTGTCCCTAAAGTACCTTTAAGGAGTAGTTACAGCACCTCTGATTTAGCTCAACCCTAAACTTTTTTTTTTTTTTTTTTGAGTTGGAGTCTCACTCTGTCATCCAGGATGGAGTGCAGTGGCATGCTCACTGCCACCATAGCCTCGAGCTGCTGGACTCAGGTGATCCTTCTGCCTCAGCCTTCCAAGTAGCTGGAACTATAGGCATGCGCCATCACACTCAGCTTATTTTTTTATTTATTGTAGAGATGAGGGCTCATCAAATTGCTCAGGCTGGTCTCGAACCCTTGAGCTCAAGCAATCCTCTCTCCTTCACCTTCCAAAGTGCTGGGATTACAGGTGTGAGCCCCTGGGCCTGGTAACCCTCAGCTTTTATAGTTGAAGAAACTGGGGCCCAGGCAGCAGACTGTCTTGCCAAGGTCAAGTGAGTAAGATGTCACATCCCCATGGCATACACAGGCTAGATGTGTGTGGATAAAGGGTGCCTAGTGACAGTTCACTATCTTGACACCTTCATTACACCAAGACCAGTGCCCTTGGGAAGCTCAAGGTATCAGAGGGAGGAGACAGGGCCAGAAGATGCAGTTCCATTACCTGGGATGGGTGCTGCTTCTTGCCCTGGCGTTGGCTTGCTGTTTGGAGGGGGTTGGTGATTGTGGGCACACCATTCAGCTTCTGTTGGGACAAAGGTCATTACACTGTTAGGGGAGTATGTGGTGAGCCAGGTGCCTTGAGGAGGACCACTTGTCCTCCCAGGACCACTGCGCACCTCAGCACTGTGGAAACTCAGTGACTAGAAGCCAGGGAGAGATGCACTGGGAGCACCTCAACAAGGCCTTGCTGCCTCCTTCCTAGCCTCCGTCCAGCTGTTGTTGAGCACTGCAGAGGCTTTGAAACCTGGCAGAATATGACTCTGTCCTCATAGTAGAGCCAGACCTCCTGGGACTTCATTTATTAAAGAAGAACATTCCTTTTTTTTTTTTAATAAAGAAAATGAAAAAAAAATCACCATAACTTAGTCCACAGTTTTGTTTTTTTTTAAAGAAATGATGTCTCAGACCGGATGTGGTAGCTCATGCTTATAATCCCAGCACTTTGGGAGACCAAGGTGAGAGGATTGCCTGAGCCTGCGGGTTCGAGACCAGCCTGGGCAACTTGGTGAGACCTCATTTCTACAATAAATCAAAAATTAGCTGGGCATGGTGGCATGTGCCTGTAGTTTCAGCAACTTGGAAAGCTGAGGCGGAAGGCTGAGGCTGTGGTGGCCATGAGTGTGCCCCTGCACTCCATCCTGGGTGAGTAAGACTCCAACTCAAAAAAAAAAAAAAAAAAAGAAAAAGAAAAGAAATCGCGTCTTATTATGTTGTCCGGGCTGGGCTTGAACTCCTGGGCTCAAGCCATCCTCCCACCTCAGCCTACTGAGTAGCTGAGGTTATGGCTTCCCTCCACTGTGTCCAGCCAAAGTTCACAGTTTTAAGGGCCTCTTAACTCTTGTGAAGAGATATAAAACAAGCTTTGGAGGAATGGGGTAAGTTTGCATAACAGTGTGCAGGTAAACTTTGCTTTCACCTATAGATGTGTCCCTTTTAATAAGATTTTGTAATTTGGAATCCCTACCAAAAGGAATTCTAAAGTTGAATCTGTGGCTCTTGAAGATCTGGATGACCGAGTCTTGGGTTTCCATGAAAAAAGTTTAACCTATACTTTATGTGGCTAAACCCAAAACTCGGGACTGGGGTTCAGAACAACCTAGGCCATTTCAGGAGCCTGACTGGCACTCTTCATGTCCTTAAAGCCCTAAGCCATACCTTGTTGTGCATCAGAGAAGTGAGGTCTGCAGTCGACGTGCTGGAACAAAGCAAAGGAGACAGGGACAACAGTGGACCAGACTTCTACAGGGAGCGTTCTTCCCAGGTTGGGCCTCTGGGGTGAGGGACTTATACTCTCTGGACTCTAGTTTTCTAGCCTACAGAGAAAACCAATCTCTAGTTCTCCTTGCCTCCTGAGATGCTATCAGGCCAGGTAGAGCCAGGGCTTGCTGCCTCCAGAGGGCAGAGGCAGCACATTCCTTCCAGATGATGCTCACACAGCTGACAGTAGTGGACATGGAGTGCATGTTGGGTGCTGAGCACCCCAGTGTGGGCTTTAACCCTCATGGCACTGTTCATCCTCACAGCAGATTCATGGGACGGTGTTCCTCTCCATCTACACCTGTGCTCAGCACCAGGATGTGAGTGGTGGAGGCAGACAGGAGTCTCCTCTGACCAGAGAACCTGTGCCCTGACCATGTCCTGACTTGCTGATATGCTCATCTGAGGTGACAGGAGCAAGGGGGCCTGGACTGTGTCTGGGAAAGGCAGGGGGAAGGAGAAGGTGGGCAGCTGCACTTTAGGGCTGGCAGCAAGTGCTGGTCCCTCCCATACCTGCTGGTCCCCAGCCTTTGCCTTGAGGACAGAGGAAGATGAGCCCACGCCCCACAGCCTCTGTCTGAGCCCTGGAGATGTCAGAAGCCGCACAGTAGTGGAGATGGGGTAGGGGAGGAGAAGGGGGAGGTGGAGGGAGATGGAAGGAAACTTGACTCCCTCCCCATGCACTTTCTTCTCTTCTATGGGCCTGGGCTGGGTGGAGGAGGTGGAGAAACTCTGAATGAGAGGTTGATGTTTTGATAGGAATCTGGACTAGACTACCACATGTCTGGAAATGAGATTGTTATAACATCTGAAAGTAACCAGAGAAGCTATGGGATTTGCCTGAGATCTCATCAATGGTGATGTCATCCAAAAATCCACTATGCTGTGATTGAAGACGGTGGTGAGAGAGCTATAAAGTGACTTCCCAACAGCACCCTTCTACACCCGTCCCGCTGCAGTGCTCATTTCACTCAACATGTGGTCATTGTTTATGAAAAGGGCACATGTTACAAATCCAGTGTTTGCCTGTGGATACTCATTACGATACGCTTTGCAGACCACATTCTGAGACAGAATCTCCGCAAGGAGCTGGCTACCTTGCAGGAATGTCTGAGACCATTTCTCCTTTTCCAGCTCTGCCTCTCCTGGTCATATGGCCCTCTGACCACCTGCCCTCTCCTCCCCCACCTATCACCTAAGTTTTCTTTGCCATATCTAACAAGACCAAATCTACTAAGACTGTATCTAATATCTCTATAAAACATTTTGGGATTCTCCAAGAATCTCCAGGGATATCAATTATGTGAATGTTTTTCCACTAATGAATTAAGCATAGTCTCCTAAAAGGAACATCAATTTGGGTAAAATTCTACTTGATAGGTGTGTATACTTGATATACCCACTCAGGTTCGGTGTGGCCTGTTTGTTTCATCCTCATCACTGCAACACCCTGTGGTTAAGGGAGTTACCTTCAATCCTGGTAAGTGGCTCCTAGGTGTGCAGAGAAAATAAGCGGGAGTGACAGCTCAGACATGTACCTGCAGGAGCTGTGTATGGGCCAGGGCCATCATTCCTGGCCTCCCAATGGACTCTGAGAGTCATACTCACTCTTCATTGACAAAGATGAGTTCCAGGGAAGGCTGGCTGTGGTTCACACCAAGACCTATGGCAGCAAGGAAAGGCAGGTAGTGAGGGGTGGAGGTGGAGCCCACCATGAGGGCCAGGTGCAGGGGCTCAGCCTGGGGCAGAAGCAAGGGGTGGCGTCCCCCCTGCCCTCACTCTGAGGGGACAGTGGGGTCCATGGATACAAGCCCTGGCTTTTGTAGTGGCCTATGAACCCCTGGATGCACGGAAAATTGGGGACCTTGCAGAAGGAAGAGCTGGAAACGAAACACAAGAAAGCTTCAGGTACAAGGGGTGGATGGGAAAGGAGAGAGAGAGGGGGAAGTGGGAGATGAGGGATGTAGGTGGGGGATCCTGGGATGGGCACCAAGCTGGGCAGTGTTGCAAGAGGAGCCGGTGTGAGGATGGGGTGAGGAAGAGGGTGGAGGGCAGAGGGGAGATGGACTCCAGCAGCGTACTGATGGGCTGGGCCTCTTCGGTGCTGGTGCTGCCCGCCCCAAGCTGCTCCTCATCAGCGCTGACCAGCTCCTGCAGCACGGCCTCCACGATGGGCATCACCATGGCAGTGGTGGAGGTGTTGGACAGCCACATGGAGAGCAGCGTGGTACAGCTCATGAAGCACAGCAGCAGCCTGGAAAGCAGGGGGCTGGGCAGGCGGCCACAGGACACCAGGCGGGCCATGCAGGACCCGACGGGCTGTTCCCGGGGCCTCCTGCGGCGGGCAGGGGGCTGGAGAAGTGGCCACGGGATGCCAGGCCCAGATCCATGGATGCTTCTGGGGCCTCCTGCAGACCTACTGCAGCAGGACTAGATTTATCCAGAAAGGCAGGACTCTGTGCCATGGGGCCATTCAATACTACACTCCCAGCAAATGGCACAGAGTAAGCAATCAGTATTTGTTGAACAAATGACTCACACTCCACAGCCTGGTGGCCTTAGCCAGGAGAGAGCCTTACTTAAGCAAAGAATAGCTTTAGTCATAGCATGAGGGTATGGACTTCCCAGCTGCTCTTCCCCTCTGTGGACCTTGGCTGAGGCTCAGCGAGGATGTGTATGTGTGTGTGTGTCTAAGGGGTGGTGTCTGCCCTTGCGCCAGTGGTTCTGTGAGTGCCACTGCATTCCTTGCTTACAATCAAGTCAAAGTGTGGTTATTAGCAACCAACAGAGATGAACGTTGGGCTCACAGTTCTGCCTACATGTTTAAACTCCAGTCGCCTTCAAAGTACTCTACGTTTGGTTCAGTACACTTATTGAGATGCTTTTTCCACTACCCAAAACAGTTTTTGAACTCATCCATTTTGATGCCTTTAGGTGCTTCTGCCATTTTTGTTTGTCCCACTGTCCACGTGCCGAAGGGTTGGCCCCCAATGTCATGGAAGTGTCCTGTGTCACCATGTACTCTTCCAGCTGGCATTAAAAAGTCAGTGCTTGGAGCAAGACACTAACCTGGATGAGCTTCAAATCATTTCTCTTTGGCTCTGATCATGTTATGCAATGTATGTCTGGGCAGACAGGGTCCTAGTTTCCACAAGATAAGCGAACAGAGAGACTACTGTGTTTGTTATTTGAGGTAGAACCACCGACTTTGCACAATCTGGGGACAATATGTGTAGCATGTGGATTATGTCATGTACATATGAGGGGGAACCAAAAAAACCCTCCAGAATTTATTTATAAAAAACTGTGTATTTATTCTTACATGTTTAAACTTCAGTCACCTTCAAAGTACTCTCTGTTTGGGGCAATACACCCACTGAGATGCTTTTTCCACCACTCAAAACAGTTTTTGAATTCATCAATTTTGATGTCTTTAAGTGCTTCTGCCATTTTTGTTTCACCTCTTCCACATCAGCAAAATGTTTGCCTTTAAGGACTCTTGTCAGGGAAAACAAAACAAAACAAAACAAGTCACTAGGGGTTAGATCAGGTGAATAGGGAGAGTGGGACACAGGGGTCATGCCATTTTTGGTCAAAAACTGCTGAACATTCAGCACAGTGTGGGCAGGTGTGCTCATAAACTACTCCTCATGAAATGGGCAAACACACTGAAATCTCCAAAACAAACAAAACTACCAAGCCAAATGTAGCCTCTCACAACAATGCTAGCTGGTACACTGATGCTGATGGGTTCCCAGAACACTTACCTAGTGGGGGAAGCCTGTACTATAAGGGGCTTGCCCTCCAAAAATATAATTCTGGGTTTTTTTGGGTTCTCCCTTTGTACACCAGTAACAGCACCATAGCAGGGAGAGGGCAACTTGCGGAGTGATGAGGTTGGCAGAGAGAAGCAAAAACACAAGTGGAGCAACATTCTTGCAGATGATACACTGAGTCCCAACAGGATGTGAGGAAGTACCACTGTGTGCCTGAGACTGTGTGTGAGCACAAGATTACCACTGAGCAAGGGGTGGATTAAGCTGTAGTCAGCAGCCCAACTTAATCCAGGAGACAGGAACATTTTCTTAAACACAACCTGTATTCATCTAAATGACTAATGTTAAAAATGAACACTATATTATTTATTTATGCTCTGAGTCCCACAGCTGGCATAAAATGTCACAAGAAAGTTGTAAACTGGAAGCAGATGAGCAGGATATTCCAGAGGGAAGGCAGGGGTAGGGGCGTCCAACATAGCTGTGGTGAACCAACACAATACCCTGGCAGGGTATCACAGTCCCCGAGGGTGGGAGTGCCTTCTGTGCCATGGACAAATGCTGTGTGTCTGTCTGGTTTTGTATTCTGAACCTATAAAAAAAACTCAGGTTGGATGGGAGGAAGTGTCACGTCTCCTTAAGTGACAAAGGAGAAGACATCCACATCCTTGTCTAGCCTGTTCCCTGACACACAGGAGAAAGGTCGGGACACAATTTCTGTTAGTCCCTCTTGGTTTTCCTGATGAGCCCCTTGCACGCTGTCCAGGTTGTCAGGTAGATTCTTTAGACTGAGATGACCATGACACCAAGGTCATAGATTCACATCTCTATTCGACCTACTGCCCAAATTGTGCAAGGTAAGTGATGGCTCTGGGGTCATCCCATCCCCATTAGCAGAACACAGACTTTAGTGGACATCCCACTGGGAGTGGGAGGGCTTTGCAGCCTGGCACCCTGCATGTGACTTACGTGCCCGGCTTGGCTCCGGCCATCAGGACCATGCGCAGAGCAATGCGCTTATGCAGGTTCCACTTCTCCACAGCAGTCGCCACGCAGATGACGCCCGCCAGTAGCAGCGTGGTGTTCTTGAAGTATTCTGCAGCCACCTAGGGGGAGCCAGCAGGGTCAGCCACCTCCTGGGACCAAGTCCAGCATGGTTGGGAGAAGGGATCCGCCTGACACAACATTCTCAATCACAGAGGCTGGCAGAGAGGAGGCGGGGAGGTGGGGATCATGGAAGCAGCCAACCTTTCCAGCACATTTGCTGAGCACCTACCCACAGGCACTGTGCTATGCACCTTACAGAAACCGTTTGTTTAATCTGCCCAGTAACCCCACAGGGTCAGTGTTCTCCACCTTGTAAAGCACAAGGTCACTGGGTTTAAATCTGATATGAGTCGGATTTTAGAGAATAAACACATAATGACAATTTTATATTGATCCTTTATATTGATGTGTCCCCTAAATCTCATTTTTAATGTTTTAAGAAATTTTCTACCATTTCTATTATAAGACTAACACATGCTGAGTATGGAAAATTTGAAAATATAGAAGAGTTTAAAGACAAAATTTCCCTTAATCCTATTACTATTAATACTTTGGTATATTCCCTTCCTTTAAAAAAAAATGTCTATATAGATACATAAGTGAATTTATACAGTATATATCTTGCCTTTTTTCTTTTTTTTTTTTTTTTTTGAGTTGGAGTCTCACTCTGTCACCCAGACTGGAGTGCAGTGGCCACTCCCGGCCACCGCAGCCTTGACCTGCTGGGCTCTGGCCATCTTTCCACCTCAGCCTTCCAAGTAGCCGGAATTACAGGCATGCGCTACCACGCCCAGCTGATTTTTTGATTTACTGTAGAGATGAGGTCTCGTCAAGTTGCCCAGGCGGGTCTTGAACCCGCAGGCTCAGGCAATCCACTCACCTCAGCCTCCCAAAGGTGCGGGATTACAGGCTGAGCCACTGAGCCCAGCTGCCTTTTTTCATTTAATGTAATAACCTGATCAGTTTTTATGAGACTTAAATTTATTGGAAATTTATGTTAATGGCAGCATAATGAACCATAGAATTTAATTTTCATTTTCCTTTTGTTGAGTATTTATATTGATCCCCTTTTTTTGCTGCTATAAATACAGCAAATAATAGTTTTATGCATAAATATTATCCTTATGTAAATATGATTATTTCTTTAGGATAGGTTCTTTTTTTTTGAGTTGGAGTCTCACTGTCACCCAGGCTGGAGTGCAGTTAGCACCTCACGGCCACCCCAGTGTCGATCTTCTGGGCTCCAGCGATTCTTCCGTCTCAGCCCTCCAAGTAGCTAGAACTACAGGCATGCGCTACCATGCCTGGCTAATTTTTAATTTATTGTAGAGATGAGGTCTCACCAAGTTGCCTGGGCTGATCTCGAACCCGCGGGCTCAGGCAATCCACTTGCCTCTGACTCCCAAAGTGCTGGGATTATAAGCTGAGCCACCGAGCCTGGCCAGGATAGCGTTCTTTAAGATGTTTTTTATAATTTGGTTTAAATTTTAAAACAAATTTTTAAAATTTAAATAATTACAAAGTTCCAAAGTATTCCCCAAATAAAACTAGCACAAGGAATACCCATATACTACCTGTCTACTTTTTTTTTCCTGAACTATTTGAAGGTAAGTTACATACATTTTGGCCCTTTTCCCCTCAATACTTCAGTGTATATTTTCTAACAGCAGGAATGTTCTCTTCCATAACCACAGGACCACTTTCTACTTTTGACTGATGGGGAAATTGAGACACAGACTAGTTAACAAGTTGTTTCATACATTGGAATCTAGGGACCAAATCTTCATTGACTCTGTCACTTGGAACATTCTTTCTCTCCATTTCTACCTGCTAATTCCATTCACACTTCAACACCTAGTTCAGGCCTGGTGCCCTCCAGAAAACCCCTGTGTCTCTTGTCTCTGACTTCAGAACATTCCGTAAGCACCATTAAATCCACACACCACATAGCACTTGGGGCAATGCTCAAATTGTTGCCTTCTGCTTGTACTGTTGTCTATTTTTGTATATGTACGTCTCTTTTCTCTCAACTAAATTTTAGGCTGTCAGTGGTTTCTTTCTATATCTCTCAACACCTAGTAGAATAATATGAAAAAATAGATGCTCAATAAATATTTGTTAATAAATAAATAAATAATTGTCATATACATGAGAATTGCTCCCAACTGGAAGAACCATGACAGAAATGGAGAGGAAAAGATAGAAAAGTTTAACTTCTAGTTGAGAAATCCTACCACGCTACCATGCCCAGCTAATTTTTTATTTATTTTAGAGACTAGGTCTCACCAAGTTGCCTGAGTGGGTCTCGAACCCGTGGGCTCAGACAATCCTCTCACCTCGGCCTCCCAAAGTGCTGGGATTACAGGCTGAGCCACCGAGCCCGGACAGAGAAATTCTCTTAAAGTGAGAAAACAAGAGAGCATTTTTAACTGTGGGGAAAAAAAAATTTGAACGGGAAAGGAAATTCAAATACAGTAAAATGTATGACATTTGAAGTAAACAATATTGACACAGCCATACTATTGTTAAATTTTGATTATTGAGTGAACAAATATTGTGCTATAATTCTATTGAGAGGATGGAGGAAGGGGATGTGGGGATGTGAAAAAACAAAACCTTTGTCTGTTGTAACAGGAAGTCAACCGACCATGTCTAGAACTAAGAACTCAAGAATTTATATAAGAACATCATACAAGCCGGGCTCGGTGGCTCAGCCTGTAATCCCGTGCTTTGGGAGGCTGAGGTGAGTGGATTGCCTGAGCCCGCGGGTTCGCGAACCACCTGGGCAACTTGACGAAACCTCATCTCTACAATAAATTAAAAAATTGGCCGGGCGTGGTAGCGCATGCCTGTAGTTCTGGTTACTTGGAAGGCTGAGGTGAAAGGATCCCCAGAGCCCAGGAGGTCGAGGCTGCAGTGACTGGGAGCATGCCACTGCACTCCAGTCTGGGTGACAGAGTGAGACTCCAACTCAAAAAAAAAAAAAAAAAAAAAAAAGAACATCATACAGTAATACAAATGGAAAGGCAGAAGAAGCAGTTGAAGCTAAAAGTTCTTGTCTCTGGGAGGGGATCAGGGGGCTTGGTGGGAGAGGAAGTTGGGGAGTTGTGGGCAGGGGACTGCTGGTTTTTCATTGTAAGTTTTCCAGCATCATAGTATTTGACTTTTAAACTTTGTGCCTGTAGCTCTTTAGATAACATCAAAAACCAGATCAAGGCTCCATTCCTCCCTTCTCTTTTTGCCCTGTGGAAATGTCACGGTACTTCCTGGTTGATGAGGTTTGTGTGGCAGGAGAAGGTGCATGGCCCTCTCTGTGACTACCTGGGGAGGAGAGCCCTATTTTCTGGTTAAACTAGTTACTGTTTCAAATCCCCATCTTCAGTTGACAACTGTCACAAATGTTCTCTGGGCAGAGAAGGCCCCCTGCTCTGGACAGCTTGTGACTGGGACAGAGTCCTCTCTGGAAGGGTGGCAAACATGAACAAAGATGCTGTCCTTAGTGGAGGTGACAACACTGCAGGGATGCCCCGGGTAGTAGCTAGGCTTGGAGTTCCACAACCTTCCTTACAGTCCAGCTTCTAGGAGGAAGCTCTGTGGTACAACAGAGTCAAGGAAGGAAGCCAACAGAAGACACAAGACAGGGAGTTCTGGTGATGGTCTCTCCTCCAGTCCATGACGGGCGGCCTCACAAAGCTTTACAGTGTCAATGCCAGCAGGGTTACTTTCCCAGGGATGCCTGATGACCTTCTAGCTTTCTGCCTCTTTGGCATGGGCCATTCTAGAACACCAGTTTGTCTGTGATGGTCTTTTAGGAAGCTCAGTGCCTAAACGACAGGTGGGTGCCTTTCACTGGATTCTGCTCACAGGGAGGGACAAGAACCAGCAGTGTGGAAGGCCTCTGGGGCCACGCACTTTGAATTTTGCCTTTTCTTTCTCATTTGAGTTCCATGGCAGTCCTACGAGGCAGGCACTTGTTAGGATCTCACTTTGCAGATGAGGAAAGTCAGAGAGGTCAGGGAACGTTTCAAGGTCACTATGTAGGATGGAGGCATGATGTCAACCCAGGTCCAACTGAATCTGAAGCCCCCCCTCCCAGACACTGTGCAGTGCAGGGTGGACCAACTGGAAACCACAAATCTGGTTCAATTCCAGGGGAATGTTCTTGTTCTCTCAGGCAGTATGGGCTGGCATGCATTTCTTATCTTCATAATCACAGTCCTGACACTGGTCCTAAATGCCCAGGCCTGGGCCAAAGCAAGCCTCAGGCCCAGCTTCAGTGGGATACTGGCTGTGTTATTTTCTCACTGGGTGTCTGGTGGGCTTAGGTCTAGTCACATGCCCTCCCTGCCACCTTGTGCTTGGGAGACACAGTGGGATGGGGCTCAGGATGTAGTTTGGGATTAAGAGTCATATGGGAAGAATGAGGACTCCAGAGTTAGCCAGGACTTTGCTCTGTGACCCTGGGCAAGCTATCCAACCTCTCTGGGCTTCATGTTCTCATTTAAAAACAATGCTTTGCAAGGCTGTTGCAAAAATTAAATGACACATGCAAACGAGTTGGTATGGCCTGTTGCAGTGCTAGCCAGGGTCTCCTCCTGGATTAAAGTGCCTAGATTTTGTGACATTTGTGCTGATGGTTCTGTGGCTTTTCTGGTTTCTGCTCTGTGGTTTCTCTGAGAATGCCAAGTCACCACACATGGAGAGCAGAGGTGTGTCTGGACTGTATTTTGAAGAGATGGGCTCAAGGAGGCACCTGAAGAGGCACGGCGAAGGATAGCAGGGATGAGCACAGGTTCTGGAGCTTGGGTAAATTGTCTGTTGCCATTGGATGAGCGAGTGAACTACTGCCAGGTCAATGCTTCCAGGGGCAATAGTGATGCCACAGCACATTTAGTACACCATGACTCACGTCTTGAGTTAGATTATGCTGGTGGTCTCTTATTTTTTAAAAAATCGTTTATAAATTTTTTTATATTAATGGGGCAACACTTTATTCCTTAAAAAGAATAAGCATTCCCCTGGTGGGCTCCTAGAACAGTGCTTGGCACACAGAAAGTGC